TTGAGGGTTTAGGGCTTGTGGGGTTTAGGTTTAGGCTTAGAGCAAACTTACACGCCAGGCTTCGAAAGCAGCTTGCTGCAACACATCCCAGCGGTACATGTGAACTTCAGACCGACTGCTTCGGCTCAAGGGGGCAGTGCACTTCGCACAGCTCACATCGAACTCACTCCAAGAATTGCATCTGAGTCTCGTTGAGGACAGCGAAATATGTGAAAGCTATATAAAACCTTGGCAAGCAGGATTGGCACGGCACACCTAGATTCCTAATACACTTGTTGCTTACTATGCGAACAGACACGAAGATAGCCACGTAGTGGTCCCCCTATGACATCACACCGTGAGAAACTACTGCCGGCAAGGCGAATCGGTCGAACCCACCCACAGCACATCCTCTCGCATGACGACTTTCCGGCCACGACAGTGCGAACAGTCACTCAAAGGAGCAGAGAAGCAGCGAACATGCAAGGTAGGAAAGGTAACAGCCAAATGATCGAGCAGACCAGCCTCATAAGTAATCACAAGAGTCACAGGAACAGATCAACTTTAAGAACCGAGCCCGGCGAAATCTCACGGCTGGTAAAAAGAAAGCCTCGTTTGACACTTAGTGGGCACGCAGTGATGCCTGACTTAGGTCCACCCCGTGCCTGCTGCTTCCAATTACTCCGCATTAGTACTATTATTGTCAGAGGGGCTGGAGGAACTCAGTTGTACCAGCTAGAAGCTGAGCCCAACAATAAAGGTCTGCCCCTGGCCGACATCAAAAGCCTCTACGGCTTAGTGAAGTGAGCGTGTCTTGCAAAGCCGGGCGGCAAAAAGCAGAACGTCCAGATGGTTGAGATCCTACAGCAGGCAACCCTCACCCCCCAAAAACCCTAAACCCTAAACCCTAAACCCCTAAACCCTAAACCCCAAAACCCCCTGCAGCCCCCAAAAGGGTTCATAATTCAAGGAGACGGTTTCTTGGGGCCCTAACCGGTCCCTCATTGACGACTGTCCTTTGGAATTGAGAGGCTTCTTATGTCTTCCCACCCCAATTCTTAAATCTACATCTAATGCAGGGGCCTTAAGAAACTAGAATAGGGTTTTGGGGTAAACTATACGATCATTGCAATAAGGAGCCCCCCCCCCCAAAAAAAAAGAAAAAGCGTTGGTAGTTATTTAAGGCCTTGCAGCTCCTTCAAGCCGTAAACCACCTTAACCTTGGAACTCTCCGGCCGCGACGGCTACAAGCCTGGCTAATGCTGCCAATAAAGACGATCAGGCTCAAGCTTTGCACTTCGCCCCTGAACCCTAAGCCCCTAAACCCCTCAACCTAAACCCCTATAAACCCTGACCCCAGAAGCTTGAACCGCAGGGATTGGGTCAAGGCCACCTCGCAACACCAAAGCAAGCGCGGGATTGTAGGGGTTGAGGGGTTCAGAGTCATTTGGGTCCAGACATTTGGGTTTAAGAATGAAGCCACACATGTCGTATGTAGGTGCGTGTGTGTGTGTGTGTGGGTGGGCGTGCGCGAGTGAGTGAGTGAGTTAGTTAGTTAGTCAGTCAGTCAGTTAGTTTAAGTTAGTTAGTTAGTTAGTTAGTTAGTCAGTCAGTCAGTCAGTCAGTCAGTTAGTTAGTTACTTTGATTTAGAAATTAGAGCTTTTTGCACTTGCAAAGGCTATCTAACGGGAAGTATCCAAAGGAACACCAAAATGAACAACTTAGGCTATGCCCAGGTAGTGATACATATAAGTATATATATATACACAATATGTGCATATATATATATATACATGTATATTTATTTGTATGCATAAAATATGTCTCTACATAAATGTATATGCACATTTTTGCACGCATACATGTTGGTTGTCTTCATATTCATGTTTACATTTAGTTTATACTTACGTGTGTATGCATGCATGCATGCATGCATGCATGCATGCATGCATGCATGCATGCATGCATGCATGCATGTATAGATAGATATATGGATATTTATATGGATAGTTGGGCAGGATAGACGGATGGACGGATAGATAGATAGGTAGGTAGATAGATAGATAGGTCAACAGATAGAGAGATAGAAAGATGGAAACATAGATAGATAGATAGATAGATAGATAGATAGACAGCTAGATCAATAGATGGGGAGATATAAAGATGTAAACATAGACAGATAGATAGACAGAAAGATGGATAGATAGATAGATAGATAGATAGATGGGCAGGTAGATAGTGGATAGACAGACTGATAGATAAGTTATGGTATTCGTTTCTGTATTGCATCTGGTATGTGTTTATTTTGAGCAACTATACTTGTACGTAGTATGGTTTCACTCATTATGTGTCCCACTGCTAGCAAGCCTCAAGCCATGTTATACTCTACTCCGTCTCAGTGTGCGTGCTGCCTACATATATATATATATATGTGTACATGTATATATATATATATGTACATATGTATATATATATATATAGATGTATATACATATATATATATATACATTAGCATGTTGTATACAGGTAGAGATCATATAACGGATAGATTTCAATTTAGATTTGAGTGTGGGGATATATATATATACGTATGTATGAAGTAACAAGTAATTAGACAAATAAAGACCTAGTATGTGTCTTCATGTTCTATGAAGCTCTTAGATGCCAAATCCACCAATCCTGATCAAAGCCCTGCTGGCCTGTCTAAAGGTGTCACCGCCTCCTCCCAACTCACACCCCCAGCGATACCTAGGACAGAGAGGCTTGGAAAGGCCGGGCTCCATGGCCAATGTTGCCACAAAGAAGCATAAATTACAGTAGAGCCTGAGCCCCCCGCACTTCAGCCAACGAACTATGCAAGAGTACTCCGAATCCTCTAAGCCTTCATTCGGGTGGGGCATGGATTGAGGGTTTTAGGGCCTGCGGCTTGGACTTAGCAATGTCCTTGGGTTGGGTTTTTTGGGCTCCAGAATTTGAAAGGTTTCGGCCCGCCCGTCGGTGCCTGATCTGATCTAGCGGCCTTTAGAGCTCAGAGTCGGGTTTTGGGGTACATTGCGGCACCCCCCAAAATAGTAGTGGTGATTGATCCCCCTCTTTGAGACCCGCATGCCCCTAGGAGGCCTAAGGAGGCCTTCGGGGTAGAACTTGAGATCATTGAGGGCATGGGCCCCAACTCAGAGGTTGAAAGCAACACGGCACTCCCTCAGCCCTCTGACCTCAGGCTGCGCGTGAAACCTGACTCCTTCTCTAAAGTTCCCTGGTCCCCGGTTATTCCCGGACTACAACAAGCCCCTCTCCTCAATCTGCAGCCACGTTTTGGGGCCCAAGGCACTCATGAAGAGACTGAGCATGCTCTTTGCTAAGGACCCCCAGTAGCGAGTGCTGGCGCTTTGGTAGAACTTCACATCCTTCCAACGACGCTGCAGGTGTAAATCTTCGTCTCAGTCTAGGGCACAGGGCTCGGCTCGTAGGGCAACCAAGACTATCGTACCCTGAACCCTCAACCCTAACTTCTTGCAAGAGCCCAGAAAACAACGGCAAGCTGCCGGATCCAGTTGCAGAAGGCTTTCAATGGATTCAGGGATTAGGGTTTTAAGTTATTAACATTCATGTCCTCTCTAGTTTCTCTACTTCTTATAACTACGAACTCTGCAAGCAGACCTCAACAGCAAGGAGAGAATAAAGCCGCAATCAGCTCTCAGAATAGTACTACTGAGACGAACTCGGGAAGATAGAATTCGGGTGGCAATTGAATCTATCGAGCCAATGAACCCTCAACCATGTATCCGAAGGCCTAAACCCTAAACCCTACTATTACACCTGAAAGATGTTCCTTAAGTACTGGTACTGGAGTCTCCGGGCAGAGTGGTCACAATGGGTGGACGAGGGGAAAGGACTTCGGGGTTTTGGAAAGGCCGCAAGATCTCGATAACTGGACCTGCAACTTCGGAACTGAAGCTTGGGGGCTTTTGGCCTTAAACCCCGAATCCTAAACCCTTAAAGGGGCCGGCTCAGGGATGCAGGCCTTAAGCCCGTATCCTAGCTGCTCCTACACCGCCTGGCACGTGATCTGAACCCTAAACCCTAAACCCAAACCCTAAACCCCCAGACCCAAAGGTCCGGATCCGCACCCTGCATCTTTCAAACCCCTGGCAACCTAGAGCCATGACTGCCCTAGGCCCTAGACCCTTTACGCCCTGCGTCCTGCAAGAAGCCTTTGAAAACCTATAGATCTAAACACCATCGCAAAGATCCCAAAACCCGTCAGGTCGGACCAAGCGTTGCGCCTCGTCCAGCTCAGCGATAGCCGTGATGTTATTGTCACTGTTGTAGTCGTAAACTGCTTGGGTAAACAACACCGCGAACACCTCAGCAGGAAGAGTTGCAGAACGTGACCGCGGCCACCACGAAGACGGAACGTAGCCACAAACCCTAAGTCCTAAGCGAGGAAAACAAACTCGAAAACGCTGCGGAAGATGTCTTTCTTAGCCGTCTTCGAGCTGGCCCTTGGGATTCAGGACCGGGCCCCCGAAATGTAGGGCTTAAAGTTTAGGGCTAGGGCGGTTAGGGGTTTAGGCGGAGGGGTTTAGGGAGGAAAATGAGCAACAAAAAGCGGGAAGTTCAGGATGTCGGATGTTGGACTCAAGGTCAAGATTTATGGGGCACTTTACGTGTTGATGTCGGGCTCCAGAAAGAAAGACAAGCCCGACAATTTCAAATGTAGCTCTATACAGCAGGAATACGAGAAGATGTTTCTGCAAGGTTCAAGAATTGATAAATTCCTAGAAGGCATCGGACTTGCGCGACACCGTGCCCCAAACCACTATGGAACCATTTCGCCAACTCGGCACCCAAATCTTAGCCCAAAATTCCCGGAAACCATATTCCCAAATCCTCGTTATGCCCATATGCCAGATATCAAGCCCAAAATTTCAACCCAAATTCCCGAAAATCTTAGCCCAAAATCTCAGCCCAAAATCTCAACCCAAATTCCCGAAAACCCCTTCCCCCATAAATCCCCGTTATTCTTCAACCCAAATTCTCGAAAACACATGCCCCCATAAACCCCCGTTATTTCTTAGCCCAATTCCCCCCGTAAAACCCAAAACCCAATCCCTTTAATACTCTTCCCCCTAAGCCCAAAACCCACGAATAACAATAAGCCTAAGTGGGGCAAGGTGTCTCTTATGAAAACGTAGTGATGCTCAGCCCAAGGAGACCCCCTATCTTGACTCAAGAAGCCCCCTATCTTGAACCAAGAAGCCCCATACCTTCGCTCAAGAGACCCCCTATCTTCACCAAGGGAAAACCCACCATTAAACCTACAAAGATACACAACCCCAACCACCAAGACACCAAGCTCAAAACTTTTCCAATGATGTGGCTTCGTTCATAAGCAAAGCAAAAAGTGTCTTCAACACCGTCGCTTCTTCTTGGGTGGCTCATGGAGATGCTTTGAAAGCGCAACGCTATCACGACACGCTCTCATCAGCAAGTTCTTTTGTGCATCTTCATCGGGCGTGCTCCTGTCCTCCTCCGTGCTTTCCTCATCGCTGAAGTCATCGCCAGTGAAGTGCTTGCCATTCTTCAAGTCCTTGAAGTCTTTGTGCCCCAACAACCGCAGAGCGCGTGCTTCCAGACCAGGAACGGTGTAGAACGGCAAGTCGTCTGCAAAGTGGTACATGATGCGACAGCTTTTTCCTTCTTTGATAGCCGATCTGGCCTTCCCAGCTGTGGCTTTGCCTTTCCCTTTTGCACGTTCGAGTTCGTAACGCGAGAGCTGCATCACCAGCGACTCTCGGATGACCTCTTTGACATCGGATTTCTCTTGCATATCCTCCTCGACCTTTTTCTTCTGCGTCTTCGGGAAGAAACTGCAAACATTGAAAAACTGTGTCGGAACTTCCTGCCCAACCAGCACACACAGCCCTCCGCCGAACTTCACGGTGAAGCCGCCCTTCTCTACAGTGATGTCCTCCACCGCGTCTTCGCAAACAGGCTGTCAATATCCAGCAGACTTGCGCCATACTTGTGGTACAAGACGAGGAACTCACGGGAACTTTTCTCTTCCGCTGTTGCATCGCTCTGTTGCAGGTCGGGCAAGAAGGCGAGTTTAACCCCCGATTCTGCATCCATAGCTTTGTGGGGCGACTGAGTCAGGCCAATCGCATTCAGTTTGGTGCCATGATGTTCACACCAAAAAAGCTTGTTTCTACCAAACGCCAACACCATCTTCGGAATCCAGCTGTCCTTCTCTTTGACGGGATAAGGTGATAGGCTTGGAGAGCGAAGGCTGGAGCGCCAGGCTGAAATACGGGATTTGCCTTCACGTCCGCGCTCACCTTGCTCGAAAAACGTGACTGTGCAGCAGCGGGACGCTTTTTGGGAGCCATGGCGCAAAACCGACGGAACAGCACTGTGAACGCTCGTATCATATAGTTGTAGAATATGACCACGCCCTCCATGAAAATGACGGACGTAGCCATCCCGCGCCAGTTGCCTAGCCCGTAGCTCTCGAGGCGCCAGCACGCGTTGGCTGTGACGTTTGTCCTTAGACGGCCATCCCAGCCTCACCTGCAGGATGTCATGACACGGGCTCTTGCTCAGACCCTCCGGCCTTGGAGCCTGAGAGCAATTCCACGTCACATGCTCCCAGTCAGCACCCCCGCCCCCACAGAAGGGACAACACATGACAGCATACTTGGCCGGCGAGACAGCTGCTCCCGTGACCACCGCAATCTCATGCGCACTGAGGTCAAGAAACCGCAGGTCCTTCAATCGATCCTCAGAGTAAGTCATGTGCTCACACATCTTACACCACTCGGTCCTGCGATAGCCACCTGTAGAACAGAGCTCTACGCCGGGATTCTCTCAACACGTGTTGGAGCTTTCGCAGTTGGGGTTGCCAGGTCTGCTGCCTACTGTCCAACGTCATCCATCTCCTGAGGCCAGCGTGCCACCATGTCCACGGCGTCCTAGCCTCAGACCATCCTAGGTCCAAGAGAACCTTCCTGAAGGCCCCAAGCCAACCGGACTTCTGACTCCGATAGCCCCGCATGACGGTGCCAGTTCTTGCAACGAAACGATGCATGATCGTCATCACTTCACTCACCGCAGAAAAGCGCAAGTCCCACTGATGGCCCCTAACGATGCCATAAAGAAAGGGACTTGCGACACGCTGTGTCTTATGAAGACGTCGAAAAACGGACTCAAGCGCCTGCAGGTCTTTCTTGGCGGGCCTTCTAAAGATCCAACCCCGAGCAGCCTTTGGCAAAGCAGACAGTTGAGCGATCCGCACCTGTCTCTTGAGCGTGCCAGGCAGGCACGCGCACCGAGAGGCTCTACTGCGGGCCTCCTCAAGTCTGCGAATCTCGTGAGCATCGGCCTTCCGAGCCTGCACTCCAGAGAAGACATATCCCAAAATCCGAATGCCTCCCTTGATCCGTCGCGGGTCAAGGCCCACCGCAGCAAGTTGCGTCGGCCATCGACCTTAGGATGGTAGAGCTGAACCTTGTCCTCGTTTTCTCGCAATCCTAGGTCTAGTGCCCAGGCTTGCCAGAGGTCCTTCACACGTTTTAACTCAGACGCAGAGTCACAAGCCAAGGACCTGTCATCCGCATAGATGACTTGAGTCGTTTGTGGAACTGTCTCGCTATGTCGAGCACAGCAGGCAAAATCACACAAGCCATCGCAGTCATGCTAAAGCTATCACCCTGAGGGAGACTATACTTGACAGCCACACCATGAGGGTAAGTCTCTCCGAGAAGCTGAAGAAATCGAGTCTGATCCCCCCAAACTTCCATCAGCAGGTTCGTGAGAGAACTGTCGAGTCCCAGATGCTGCATAACCCGAACTGCAATCCGAGGGTCCGCAGTGTCGAATGCAGAAGACAAGTCAAGTGTGCCCATGTACTTGCTTTCGTGAGCGCACCGAAGCAGCTGACCTGCCGCGTCCTGTACTCCCTTTTTCGGAATCCCTCCATAGACACATGAAGGAAAGGTGTCCACAATCCATCTCTGCATCACATCACTCTTGAAGCGGGCCTTCGTGTAAATTCTCCAGAACAGGCTAGAGATGGACACCGGCCTAAGACTACTAGTGAGCAGGGAGCCATCAGGTTCAGGGTCTTTACCTTTAGAGAGGTGAACCTGACGTGAAAGCTTCCAAGTCCTGGGCACCTGTCCCTCACGCTCACATCTGTTGCAGAACTCTGCCACAACCTGAAACATGTCCTCCGAGAACCACGACACCTCCTGAGGCGTCCAGCCATCGATCCCAGGGACAGTGCCTCGGGAGTCCAAGACTGCCCGACGCACCTCCTCCTTAGTGAGTTCAGGGAGGCGCACTTCCTGAGCCCTGCGAGGAGGGAGACTGGCCTCGATGCGGCGCCAAACCGTCTCGACATCAATGGGCTGTCTGGCTCGTATCATGTTCGTCTATGCATCTGACATGTACACTATGTTTGTTGTTCTGCTGCGCAACGTCGAGCAGGAACAGAATGACCAGGTTATACATGGAGCAAAACTTGACCGCAATTGCAAAGCATCGTGCACGAAATCACAACACATACACATGCCTACAAAAGACGTTACAACTTCAGCAATTCATGGCGCAAATACCCCCTACCACTGATATAGTAATATGTTTGCCCCAAAAGTGTTTTTATATCATCAATGGTCTGAATTTCTTTCAGCCAATTGCTCTTGCTCTCCTTATCTAATTTATCTTTTCCGCTAAATATCTTGACTTTATCGCCTTTCTCTAATTCGGGGTACGTTCGGGTTTTTGTTGCATTCATTGCAATGTTTGCCTTAACTTTGAGTTCGTTTTCGGGTTTGTTTTGCTTGTTGCGGTGTTAAATCGGTTGCTGAATGAACCATTTTATTATTATATGTTATCATTATCTCAAATTTGTAATCCGTCCATTGAGTTTTTGCTTTACCCTTTTTCTCATCTGCTTCAACTCTTTTGAACAACATATTTTTAAACGTGCGAATGCGGGATGTGTTCGGGTTCTGTGTATTTCTATTTTTTGACTTTCAAAATATTCTTTAATGACATTACTGTTTAAACTACCCTCGTCGTCGGAATAAATAAGCTCGGTTTTTTTGCCCATTTTGTTTATTCCTTCTATTATTCCCGCTAATACATCGTCTTGAAGCTTACTTGTATAATTGGAACAGCAACCGCAAACTCACTAAATATGTCGATTACTACCATACCAACATTAAACTTCGGATTATCCAAATCATTATTCGTAATAAAAAATAAGTCTGTTTGATATTCATAATATGCATAAGGCGCAATAAACGAATTAATCCCCGACATCGGCCTTTTCCTATCTACATTCTTTTCAAACCACGCTTTAACATCCGCTAACGTACTACTCTTATCTTTCGCCTTGGCATCTTTAAAAGTTGTGGCAATGCTTCCGAAACCGCTCCTATCAAAATAGATATCCGAAATAATTTGATTCTTGTCTGACATTCATAATAAATATTATAGAATATTCATTATAAACTATCTTGCGCAACAATTACGCATAACACAAAAGGTATTACAATTGTTTATATAATGCGCCTTGTCATTGTCCAACCTATTGGCTGATAAATTGGTAGTTAGCCTGTGACCATCTCTTTCAACTACAAGGGGTTCGTTACAGTCGGCGCATCTATTTTTTAATTGGCTCATAAGCCACTCAACATTTAGATAGTCCTCTGCATTTATTGAACGCCCTGCTTCTATATCTTGTGATATGTATTGTTTAACCTTTTGGTTAAAATACCTTTGTATTTCGGCCTCTTTAATGTCTCTTGTTTTTGTGAAACTTGATTTTGTTTACATCCAATGCTCTTGTGACTGATGTCTACAGCCACTCTTAGAAACATAATAATACCTCCAATGAGAAACAATAACATCACCGTCTATTGAACATCCATGTTTGCTATGGCATGTGTAACATGAAGCATAAATAACATTTTGTCTCAACTTCTTTATGTTTATTTATAGTTGTAACCTTGTAGCCACATTTTCAAACCATGTTACCTTTAATTTTCGTTATGTTGAACTTAAGATTAACATTAAATTTTTGATGTCGCGCATCTTGTATAAACAGGACAAACAACTTCATCGCCTACGACATATTCTTCGTTTATACCTCTTTCTTTTCTAATTTGTTGGGATACTTTTCTACATGTTTCGTTGGTGTATGCTACGTTATTATCAATGGGTTCTATCTCGTCTGTTTCCTCAAAATACTTCTCAATAATCTGCTTAATTGTCATGTCCGTTTTAAAAATGTCGTGATAAACACTTTTTTATTTAATTCTGTCTTCTTCGTTGGTTAATCTTTTGCATTCCTCTAAATACAAATATGTTTTAAAGATTTGTTTTATACAACTGTCTAAGTATGTCCTCTAATCTTGTGTGTTAGTTATATCGACAACGCCCTGTAATTGATGTTCGTCGACTGTTGCTACAATAATTTTGTCGGTGTTCTTTTCTAGAAATGTTTTTATTCTTGCTTAAACTGGAATACTGTTAAAATAGATTTCATCAAAGACAATAACATCATTTCCAGAATGATCAAAGACGTTCATTTTTTCTTCGCCGACTTGGATAGAAAATAAGGTTTAGGGTTTAGTGAAAGCCACTCCGACCGAATGACCGAAAGCGACGCCATCGACATCCGACCAAAAAGGTGGTCCGAAAAGACCCCGCTCCCAACGACAGGGAGTCGACTTTACACATGACGACTAGAAAGTCTACATAGCACTGCAGCATGTTGTCTTTATAGCAAGATAGTATTGTACCATTACCAGTATTATAGACTCACGGCTCTAATCATTCGAACTAGGTTATTGGGGCAAAGACAAAATCATAAGGAGGGGCCCCGAGGATTCGTGTAAGTCAAGCATCTAAACTACCCTAACCTCCCAGGTACCTAC